TAAGGTATGTACGTCTAAGCCAATTACTGTGACTCATTCGCTATTATTAACGGTATTAAGTGATTATCTATTAATAACATTGCATATTTTAAGGCGAACAACATAAGAAAAGTGATAACTGACTTCTTAGCTATTTGAGAAAGCTCTCAATGACTAATATAGTTAAATGAGAAACAGTGTGTGCAGATAAGACACATTTGCTAGGTATAGCATTCACAAAAATTAAATTTCGCCACTCTCCATACATCAATACAGCAGCCATACATTAGTGAAATCTTCATTCGATATAAACAAGCATTTGGTATATTTGTATGGCGAAGTCCTAGCAATGTCTGTTGGCAGGGTTCAATAATAATATACATATTTATGTACCAGTATTGTTTCTCCAAAGTGATTCTACTTGTCTGCCTCTCTCCACCCCCAAATTCGATTTTTTTCTGTCTAATTTGATATTATATAAACAAATTTTTACATATGAATGTTCTCACGTTCTGATATACCAGTTACCAAATTTCGAAAGAAAGTTAATAGTGCTGGGGATATTATTTTACTCTAATAGTTAAGTTATTTGAGCACACACAAGTGCTCACACAAAAGATATACAGTAGAAAAGTAAAATGTGTTTAATAAGATAAGCATAAAGAAATGCCCATTTGATGTGATATTACAGAACCCTTTTACAAAATTTTTTATTGTAAAATCAAAATGGTAAACAGATTTTTGGATATCTTAACACTCATTACTCAAACTGTTTCATGATAAACATTATTATTTTCGTATATTTTTTTTCGTCTGAAAAAGCGAAGGACGTAAAGTCGCCAATAATCCTGAATAAAGTAAAGATATAAAAGTTACATATACATGTATTTTGAGTGAAGTGAAGGTGAGTGAATACTCGTAAAAATAAATTTTACGGACTCCAAAGAATTAAATTTTGAATCTCATCTCATCATATATGATTGTTGTCAAGAATACGCGAATTGGGCTAGAGTGATCAAAGTTCATATATGCCTGTTTTCTCTTATATAAATTACTAGAACAAACAGCTGGTCTCGTCCTTCCAACAGAATAATTATTAAAAGACCGTGTTATTAAGTGAACATTTTTATACCTTGGCTATATGTATTAAGTTTGCAAGGAGTTTGTAACAACCAGAAGGTATCATCACGAGATCATTGAGTTAATGTAGCCACGTCCGGACTTCAAGTCGTCCCTCATTTTTTGAGTTATCCATCTAAAATTTTGCACTCCTCCTATTCTCTCCAAGAAACTCATTTCTTGGAACCACCAACATCGGAACGGTGAATTTTTAATTTATGTTTTTTCTGTAAGTTGGTAGTACTGTTAGTGACATCTATGCTAAATTCAAATATTCATTAGTATTTGAGATATGCGTCGTTTTGTGAGGCTCTAAAAGTGAATTCTTCGATTTTTTCTATGTCTGTCCACATTTTCAACTAATATCGTACCACAACCACCTCATTCGACCTTCGTGTAACTTCTGACTATTCATCAAATTCATATGACTACTTCGAGGATACCGTTTTGACTCTATTGAGGATATAAAAGCTGAATCGAAGAAGGTTCTGATGGCCATCACGACGGAGAATTTTTCCAAGTGCTATGATGGATGGAAAATTCGTTGGCTTAATAGCCCAAACAACCAAAAACGTAGGTCCGTGGCCTTTGTCACCTGATACGACCTATCTTATGGGCGCGCAATGTAGGTGAACAGCGAAAAACGTTACTCCCTTCTCTCTTTGCCATAGGATGCCGTAGGAATCCACGGCATTTGGATTTTTGCTGTAGAAACGTTTCAGCTGTTTGCTCTCTCATAACGCTGGGTTGCCAATCTCGATATATGTATATGTAGGAATTATAAAAGTTGTCTTCAAGATGTTTGAAATTTTCTTAAAATAATTCAAAATCAGAGTCGAATGCTATTATTTATAAATATATAAACTAATTTTAATAATTTATTTTCAGTGTTGATATTTTATATTATGAACAATTGTAATTGAAAATAATTTCAACAGTCTTCAATTCTGCTGATTATCAATAATAACGCACAAGCATCGTCAAATAGTTGTTTGATGTCGATTATTTTTGAACACTGAATATGCACTAGGAAATTCATCAACAACGAAGATTTTGTAATAAACCAATTGAAGCTGTCAATGGTAATGATGTCAGTTTCAGCATAGTTGCTCGATGAGTGTTAACCGGGCTCAAAGGCAAAGCAACTACTTCTAAAAGAATTCCTAAACTCAACCTTTCTGAAGACTATGGATCCAGTGAATGTCCAAAAGAACTCGTTACAGACAAAAATGTCGTAAAATCACAAAATAGTCGAGATAACAGTATCTGCAAAGTATCAAAGGCATAACTTGATCTTATAGTTCATAAATATTTGTGTATATGTAAGTTCTGTCAAGTTGGCTACCATGCGAGGTCTCAAACGACCGACCAATTATTACAAACGAAAGCAAAATTGCATAAATTCCGCCCTAAATTGCTTCTGTATTCGATATGTTCTTCTATTCCGACCCCAACGTTTTTTTCCTTTCTTCAAACCTCAAGATAATAAGAAATTTAATATAACATTCAAATATTTTTTTACCACAATATTTTCATAATCATAAAGAAATATAAATATACAGAAATTCTTTTCCGATGAATATATGTACATATGTAAGTATGCAAAACCAGCGTAGACAATAAGCCGCAAGGGCAATGGAGGAGCTAACTTACATTCCTATCCATAGCAAGCCCCAATACCAATAGCACGAAATAAAACTTATTTAAATAAATAACCAATTGTGGGTTATTATGAATAAATTATTAGCAAGCATTCGAGCGCCAAACGCCAAACGCTAAATTGCGCAGACCGGCAATTCGAATAACAAAGAAAAATACTATTAAAATAAATAATGGAAAAATGCTATAAACAAGCTGGACAAAAGTGTAAGATCTAATAACGTATATAGTTATAATTATACAAAACCACGCATATGAAATAATAAGCGTGGAAACAGTAAACAATACACACATACAGAAGAATGGGGTGCAGCCAGTAGCGAAACTCTTGTCTGCTTTGATCTGTTAAGTGGTTGTCTATCGTATGGTATGTACTATGAGCGTCAAAATAAAGTATACAGCACACTTTAAATATTACTCCTCTCGTTCTTCAATATACGTATACACATCTTAGTTTTACTACCCGTTAGTACCATCCGTTAGTACCACCATCCAAGAGAGACAGGTCGAATCGCAAGTGGAAGGAGACGTATCTACGGATTTAAAAAAAAGGGGAAGTAGCAATATCATTTGATGATTTGATTCTTACGTTTAGAAGAGTATTTGTGCATTAAATCAAATCGAGCCTGGATGCTATATACAAAGGATCGATTTCATCAAAAATTGGTTCAAAGTTTCCTCTGGCGGAAACCCGGTTTTCGATGATCCACTTAAAAAGTCTACGATCTCATATTGGTAGACCGACCGAATGAAAAAACTATCGTACACACAAAGGCCTCTTCCAGAAAAGGTAATGCAACTTCAAGTGCATTCATATATAGAGAAACTATCAACGACATCTAGAATAAAAATTAGTTCCAACAATGAGATGATCATGCAATGTTTGAAGTATTTGCAAAATATAAAACGTTATTTGGAGATGGAAGAACTAGAAGTACCACAATAACCAGACCTGAATCCTATCAAAATTTTCACTCGACAGGCAATTATTGAAAAGGTTAAACCCACATTGTTCTTTGGAATAGATTTTACTGCAAGAAGGGCAAAAAATATGTGCTTACATAATAAAATGAGTGATATCGAAATACCAGTGAAATAGGAACAGTTAATCAAACGTAGAATCAACGAATAAAATATTGAGCAATAGACAATTATTTATTTATTATACCCTGAATAAGGTATATGAAGTTTCTTCTTAAACTTGCTTGTAATAACCAGATATAATTGAACAGCAGGACGTACTGAGACGTTTTAGCCATGTTCATCTATCTGTCCGTCGATTTATATGCATACATATGTTTACGCGAACTAGTGAGTCCGTTTTTAAAATATCGATGATGTTTTGCAGACGGCTTTTCTTTTCGAAGGAGCTGCTCATTTGCCGGAATCGCAGATATCGGATCCCTATAGCGTATAGGTTTCCCTTTGTGGAAAATTTTTTATTAGACAAGATATATTCACGAAATTTAACTCGGATTATTTTTTAAAGAAACGATACAATCTTCGAATAACCTGTTAGATCGGATCATAGTATACATATAACTGCCACACGAACTAATCGAGCAGTCAACTCTATTTCAAATGTGCACAATTTTTTATTGCTTTCAAATTGTTGTTTTTTCTATCCATATTCAAAAAACCAATAATTCTTATCTTTTAGAGGGCTTAGGCTTGCTTTACGTTCAGTAATATTTTCTCAAAACTGCTTTTTAAAGTATTGCAACAAAGCAGAGATGTATACAAATAGAGGTGTACACTTCATTTTGACGCTTACAGTTTGTCCATATTTACGTATAAACGCTAACAACGGATAGCTAAATCAAAACAGACAAATAACAATAAAGTATAGAGAAAAAAAAGAACAAATACAACAATAATCTGAAGTTCTCGCATTATCAGCAGCAACTGACGTGACCACCGTTTGTATCAAAACGCGCCAAAACTGCAATACACAAAACAACACACAAAGTAGAATCGCTGATCTTTTAAATTGCGAGATCTATAAACACACGTGCATACACTTACATTCAATAAAAAGACTACAAAGCTTTATAGTATAGGTATGTGTGTATATATGTATGAGTGCAAAAAGAGAACTGGTAGCTAAATAGCTCGAAAACAGTGTAGCCAAGTATTCAGAACCAGTCGTAGTCTACGTTGAGTCGGTCCACAGTCAGTTTTCCACCGTCTAACACAGAGCAAAACAATGCAGAACACTTGGACCGCGTAAGTTTCGAACATCTGAACATCGCTGCTGATCCACAATTCACGCTGGAGTGAAATTTTTTGCATTCTCACTCAAAGCTACATACATACATATGTACTAAAAGCAGTGTTTCTGAAGGAGGTGAACTTAGCCTACATTTTTGTGACATTTGGCCGCGTATTACCTCCCGCTGGTGTCCAATATGCATAGTTTGAAAAAGAATGAGAAGTGAATACATTTGATGTTGAGGTATAATTCCTTAATTCTGATTAGTTCTTGTCGTCGGAGGTCTGTCTTTGCGAGCATTTTTCATGAGTGAAAAAAATTTGTTACGGCGCGTGTTTGTGGTGGAGGCAAACGATGGTGGAGACAGCAGTATGAGTTAATAATGTTTCACAACTAATGACACTATAATTAGCGTGTAATCAGATAACATAAAAGCTGATTGCAGCGATTACTCGCAAGTGACAAGAATGAAAAATGTGAGCGAAAGTTTCGGTTAATACAAGTACGTAATGTATGCTAAATTTAATACCATAGGTCCAACAAAGTGTTGAAGCCTAAAAGTAAAAGAAAACTGAAAGGAAGTGCAAAATTATTTCATTTAATAAAAACAAAAACTAATATCACAAAGTCAAAGACCGATAAATATTACTGTCTACTTTAAATGAAGTAACTAATAATTTTGTCGGCCTCTGTCTTTTCTAGCTGTAGAAAGTGCACCCAACCACTACACAGCAATTAGATGTTAGCTTCCGAGTAATATCAAAAAATCTTTTCTTTTTTTTTAATTCAATAAACAAGAGGCAAAATCCTCTAATCAGCTGACAAAGTCGCATTCGCAAAGTACATGTGTACATACTATATACATATGTATACAGTTGCGTGCAACTAATTAACAACGATATTATATCAAACAATAGTAGGTTTCTTTTCTCTCTCTCTCTTTCTTTTAAACTGTGAAACTTTGCCTTACAAGAAACTAATATTTCACCAATTCACATCTCGAAAACCAGTGCTATTTAAACTTGACTTTTTAATAATTTAAAGACTAAATGTGCCGTGCAACTAATTAGCAACGCATTAGGTACTTTTTAAAGGCACAATTAGTTTCGAACTTCCAGCAGACTTTATTGAGAGTGTGGGTTTTCTTATACTTTATACTTGTTATATATGTCCACAAATTGATACATTTGCCCATCAATATTGAATAAAGGTAAGATACCAAGCAACGAAATTGCACCCTAAAGCATTATATTGTTTAGGAATGTATCTAGGAACCCACTCTTTTCATTATGGGGGCCTTACATAACTTTTCTATCTAAACAGTCTCCGGTCATCCTTGTATCATCAGAAAACAGTTCCTTTTTATTCGGTATTTTAAATGATATCCAAACGATTTTTTGTATATCAATAAACATTGGCTTTTTCCTCGAAATCCTTCCAACTAGTCCTGCTTCTCGCAATCGACTTTTACCAGTAACAACGAATCTTGCATTCTTATTTTCATTCCTTTCGTGATTCGCAAATAGTCAATTCGTCTTGTCTTGTTGTCGTTCTACGCGCTCTCCTTCTGTGTAGAACTCGATTTGTAGTCTTATTTTGTTATAATCATGGATAATGTGAATCAAAACTCCTCTCATTGCTTCATGAGAGAGCACATCATCTCGTAGCATATTTCATTTCTAATATATAACATATATAATTGATTTTTTATTTTCAATATTTTGTATAATTGAAAGATAATTTTGAAAATCATTTCCTATTAAAACAGATATGTACATAAATAAGAGCATAATATGGGGAATGTCGCTTTTTATTCAAATTTTAATTATGTATGCTTTCCTGTGGAAAGTAACGTAATGAAAACAATCCATGAAATGCATTAAAAAATCACTATTTATTTCTATCCATAGTAGCACCATGTCAAAAGTTACAAAAACTGTGCATTTTAACGGCGCTATCCCGATTCAGAGAGTTTCATATCATGTTATCCATGCCTATGCTGAAGAGCATTAAATTTCATTCTTTTCGAAATTATGAGCGACCTTTCGGCTTCGCCGTATGACTTGCCATTCTCTTGTGAGATGACTAAACAGTTTTCGAGAGATATACTTTAATGTGAAAGAAACTATTAAAGACATCTTTTGTTCCGTCGGTATTTTAGGCAAATATTCGCAAAATATTTTCGGCATGTCGTTGTTAATTAGTTGCACGCAACTGTACTCGTATATATAATATGTATGTCAGTAAAAGCGCGGAAATAAAAAACAATCTTATTGGACGAACGCCAAATGAAAGCCGGCAAGCGGCACGTATTGACCAAAATTTCGTCGAAAAGGAAATGAAGACGTTCGAACAGTTAAAATAATGAGGATGCTTCCGACAGTGATCAAGGTCATAAGCTCTAAATATTACAGCAATTGGTAAAATTTCTTCGTCAAAGATCCGATTCTTCTAGTTCAAATTAAAGTTTTTAAACAGTTCATTATATTTTGGTTCATTTGATACCATGCTTAGATTTTAGTATAAATATGAATGTGATAAAAATAGCACACACATCTTACATTTGCGAGAATACAGTTTTTCTAATTGCAAAGGCTTCCGACGGGCATTTGGGGTAGGCTCTTACGTTATTCAGATATAAAAAAGTAAGGAAAAACTACGTTCGAATGGAATCGAATATTATATGCTCTCATAATGTTAAAGCATAACAAAGCCAATTAAAGAAATGGGAATAATTATAATATAAATACGATGGGTATGAATGGATCTTTTTTCGATTTTTCCCAATTTTTACACCAAATATGAAAGGATAAAGTATAAAGTCAATCAGACCAGGTACTTGGGGGTGCCAAGTTATGGGCTATTTACCCGTACCCGAAACCAACTAATATGAGCATTTTTTGATGAGAATATCATAGTATATGTTAAAGACCCTATTCTCCTCGGAGTTTATTTCGATATACAAATTGGTTCTTCATTTATCTCTTATTAGAACGTATATATAGCTATTGAGAATCAAACGGAATAATATAGAAAGTATATGTGATTGTAGTTCGATTTTGGTATATTTGCAAACTGTTTCATAATAAACAAAACATAAATTGCGATTGCACCGAAGCTAAAATACCCTTTACAAAGAAATTAAATATTTTCATTTAATAACATGAATTTGATTGTTCAGTTTGTATGGCAGCTATACGAGGTGGGCTCAAAAAGTATTGCGAATTTTGGTTTTTCCAATCTTCGAAGCACTTTAAAAAATATTTTTTTTTATCTTCTTCAGCTTCTCCTTTGATGCCGTCTTTATCTCGTCAAGAGAAGCGTAACGTCGTCCTTTCATGGACCTCTTCAGTTTAGAAACAAGAAAAGCCACAGGGCGCCAGATCTGGGGAATACGGTGGCTGCGGCATCATTAGTGTGTTGTTTTTGGCCAAAAAGTCGCGCACAAGCAACGATGTGTGTGCAGGAGCGTTATCGTGGTGCAAACGCCAATTTTCGTCACATCTTCTCGGCCTTCTGAGAACATTTTGTACCATCGRTAAACGTTGCTTCGGTCCAAGGTAGCTTCTCCGTATGCCACAGTCAACATTCGGAATGCATCCGCGCACTTAGTTTCGTTTTTCACACAAAATTTTATACAGGTTCTTTGATCCATTTTTTTGAATAGGTAAAAATCGAAGACGATCCAAAACACATGCAAGCAAGGCAGCTGTCAATAATTAAATAAACATTCAAAATGGCCGAGCTTGTCGGCATAAGTGAGAGACATGAGTACCAACATAACCCAACGTAACCCGCGAAAATTCAAAATTTGCGATAATTTTTGAACACACCTCGTACGCTATAGTTGTGAGATGATATCAGCGATTCCAACAAATGAAAACTTAATATACGGATTCAGGGTATAAAACATAATGAATATCTTAAAACGGAAAAGTAGTTTAAAATGCGATTAACGGTAGACATCTCAAACAACTGTTAGCTATTATAGTCTGTGCAACATGTTGTGAGAAAAAAAAAATTTAATGATATTAGAATGAGGTAATAGCAAATACATTTAAAATAATATAAACACTGATGTATAAATGGAATTAAAAAAAGTTGTTTACATACAATAATTATTATATAATATGCATATTTAATAAGATGATTTTTCTCATCTTTTGCATTAACAGTTTCAAGTCAGTGTGCCCGGCGGCAAAGGCAAAACAACTAAATATGAAGACGAACCAACTGGTGATCATACGACATGGTGAGAGTGAGTGGAATAAGCTAAATCTCTTTTGCGGCTGGCACGATGCCGACTTGAGTGAACAAGGTAACTAAAATACAGCAAAGCAAATACACATACATGTACATGGATTTTAACTTATGAGCTTTAACTTTTTCATTCTCATTACATTGCAATTAATTAAATATTTATTTTAGAAGTGTATTTATGTACTTCATATCTGTTTTTGTTGTTTGCTCATATTTGCAAAGTGAATAAAGTCTGTTTGATGGTTTTTTGGAAAAGAATACATTCATAGGCAATCAGCTTTTTCTCTTCTTTTTACATACTCTGTTGGAAGCTTTTCCGTGCGATGCAAAAATTTGTAAATTACACTTGTGAAAACATAGTTGACCTTGAGAGAAGCAAGGCTTTTCTAACTGCACCCCTACCACTTGTAATTAATGCCCTTATGCTATGTTTATAATAACAACAAAGCTGATTTTTAAATGTTTTTTTATCTGGAAATGCAGCCCAAATAATTTTGTCGATTTGGTTGGGCAGTGTTTCTGTGTTTCTGCAAAAATAATTTTTCCCGCCTGTGAATATTCTTACGTTTCTCTCGCTCTTCTAACTGGCTATTTTTCAGCTTGCTGTGCCAAGCACATTTTGTTGCCTTGTCTTCCCAGCTCTCCGTGAACTAAAGTTTTTTGATTTCGTGCAATATTTACTATACGAGCCCTTGTCGATGTTATGTCTATGTGTAAAAAATATACTATAAACGTAAATAATACACTTCAGAGAGCTCCGTGGATCCGCTCCTGTAAGTTCGTTAGTAACCTTAAATAGTCGACGACAGTGTATCTTAGAGGCAATTGATTCCAACATTCATTCAGGTAACTCCCCCAACCTTGGTTATATGCAGAGACGACGGTTATTGGCACAGAAACATCCATTTTGTACCAGAAATAATATGGTTATTCGAAACTAGAGCCGAGAAGGTAAATATGCTTCGTTATTGGTAGGATGTAGGCCATAATTGTTGATACTCCTAGGATAATAAGATGTATATAATTACCTAGTATAACTACTACGATTTGAAAAATTTCGTTTCGAATAGAACGCTTTTAAAACCTTTCATACTGTACACATAGAGAAAAGATAACAGTTGTATTATTCCTACTACTATTTTTTTTTTTTTGAATATATCTTACACACCAAAGGTTCAACACTACTGCAGATTGAAACTGATTTTTTTACAACGACCAATAACTGAATAACGTTTTAGGGCACTAAAGTGTACTTTAAGCCAAATAATGGATTTTCCAACCGGCTTAACTCTTTAAATCATATACCATTTACCATGTTATATAAATTGTACGAGTGTAGTGTTATTTCAAAACTAAAGATTTGACATTCTCTTCTACACTGCGGTAGGTGCCAAGGATGCAATTAACACATCTGCTGTAGCACTGCGTGAAAGCAACTTAAAATTTGACATTGCATACTCGTCGGCGTTAATACGCGCGCGACAATCTCTTAGTATCATATTAAAAGAATTGAATCTCTGTGATTTGGAAGTCGTTAGTGATTGGCATTTGAACGAGCGACACTATGGCAATCTGACAGGTTACAACAAACGCGACATGGCCGACAAATATGGAGAGGAGCAAGTAAGTTCAAGAATGAAAAGTAGAAACCAATCTTTCTAAATATTTCTCGAATCTTAATGTTTTTAACAATATGCGATGAAAATAGTATCAAATAAAACCCAAGTCGGTTATTGCGTTTCCTTTTTCCCCACATTGGTCTTAAAACAATAGGTGGCGACTTTGTACGAGTGTACTTTGTAACTGAACTAAAATCTTTTAGTTTTAACACCGACCATAAAATTTCAATAGTTTAGGCCGTAATTAGTGGAAAAAAAATTAACTTTGGTTAAATACCAACCACAAATAAAAGGAATCCCATACGAGCACTTGCCTTGATCGGTCGGTTTGTATTACAGCTACATACATATATGGTAATACATGCGATAGTGATCCGTGCCACTTCTTCAATCCGATTAATGGCTAACATAGGAGGCCCCAGGCAAGAAAAGAGAAAGCTCCTTATGTCGACGACAACCAGCGTCCTATTATACGGAGCGAAAATCTGGGCAGACGCGCTTGTAAAGGAAAACCGGCGTAAGGCAGTGGCCAGGGTGTACCGCACCGCAGCCCTCAGAGTCGTATCAGCCCACAGAACAGTATCAGGCGACGCAATATTAGTTATAAGCGGCAGTGCTCCAATCGACCTTCTAGCATATGAAAGGAAAAAGCTGTGGGAGCTAAAGAAATCACCCGGCAATAACAAGAGCGCAATACAACAAATAAGGCAAGATACGATAACATCATGGCAACAAAGATGGGAGAATGAAAGTCGCGGCAAATGGATGGCTGATAAAAGATACAGCTTCATGGACAAGCCGTAAATTCGTAGAAGTAGACTTTTACGCAACCCAGCTGCTTTCCGGCCACGGATACTTCAAAAAGTACCTCTACAGAATGGGAAAAGTCGAAGAGCCGTCATGCCTATACAACGACGCGACAGAAGACGACGCTAAACACACATTCTCCGAATGTGAGCGCTGGCAAAGGAAACGCACCGCCGTAGAAGACATTGTCGGCCCAATAAACGCTGACAATTTAATCAGCGTCATGTTGGAGAGCGAAGCAAACAGGGGGATTGTCCAGAAATACGCAGCATTCTTGCTACGCATCAAAAAGCGAGACCTGGACGCAGGTGTGCAGATGTAAATCTCTCAATGAGAAAAATGGAACGCCACCCTGAAGTAATGCAAGCGAGGTCCCAGGGTGGGCGACGGTTCAAAAAAAAAACATCCGCGCCGTTAGTTTTGCCACGTCACTGTTGATTATCTTGAAACCAGTATTAATACCAACAACATTGTCAGCCTCGAAATTCATCACTGAATAACCCTTGCCAACAGGTGCTTGGTCGCACTGAGTAGGCAATTGAGAAGTATACTCCTCTCTCAATGAACAAAGACCAAACTCCACAAGAGAAGGACCTGACCGCACTTAGTACGTCGAATTGGAGCCAAATTGAGAAAAGAAGAAACGACAGGTGCGCTGCTGTTAACTCGACTATAACCGCGTGGTGCGGTGTCTCCGCCATTAAAAAAATAAGAAGGTCCATTCTCAGCATTTGTTCGGATATTTTAGTATTACTTTGGATAATAAGACCATGCCAAATTTCTTGTACATATTTTGCCAATACAAATTTTCGTGACAAGAACTTGATTCTGATCGTTCCATTTGCATAAAAGCTGTATGCTATAATGATCCGATCTGGAGCTTTTTCGGACTGAAGAAACTGCCGATTTTGAATCAGCTCTACGGAACCAAGTGCTTTTATAGAAAACTTTTACCTTTACGAAATTTGGACGGGTTGTTGTCCTAGATAAACGGTGCAATCGTCAAAGAAATTTTTGAGATCACTATACCATATAGCTGCCATACAAACTGATCGGCCAAAATCAAGTTCCTCTAAGAAAGGGTATTTTAGATTCAGTGCATCCAACGTTAACGTTTTTCTTGTATTTATTTAATTAACTCTATATTTTTACGAATGAATTTCAAGAATTAATAATGCGAACTAATTGCTTATAGGTGCAATCGTGGCGGCGTAAATACGATGTCCTTCCACCACCTATCACAGCAGACAATCCATACTATCATTCCATACGCAACAATCCGAGCTTCAAAGATATACCATCGGCGGAATTCCCAGACACTGAGTCACTGAAGGTTCTAATGCAACGCGTCATACCGTACTTTGAGAATGTCATATTTAAGCAGGTGCTTAGAGGCAGGCGAGTTCTCATCATAGCACATGGCACAGTGGCGCGTGCCCTGATCAAACACATCGATAGTAAGTGCGACCATTATTATAATTATTTTATAAAGACAACCCTCAATGTTTTATAAATGAATATGCATATGTATGTGTTTTTGACTTATCAGATACGGATGTTTATGTATAATTGCAGAAGTGTCGGATGAGAATATTTCTACTGTGAATGTACCGAATAGCATACCCTGCGTATTTGAATTTAATATGGAAACAGGGGAAAAAGTCGGAAAAACTACATTTTTAGCAGATGAAAACTTCTTGAACGAACAGATACAAAAAACCGCTTCTATTGGGGAGTCAAACAAATGAAAATGTACTTATTTGTTCAAAGCTAAAAACTTCTTGAACTCAAATAAATGTAATAATAATTATGGAAAAACTGCGAAAAGAGACTATTTAAGTTAATGTGTAAATTATTTGTAATGTAATCGTAACCGTGTATAATTTTACTTTTATTGTATACTATGTAAATTTAAGTGATTTGTGAACGCACAATAAATATTATCTTATCTTTTATACAAAATATAAAAAAGAGTACTTTAATTATTTGATTTTAAGCTACGACAATACGGATTATACCTATCTCCCACTCGTCCCCTTTTCTGGCAAGGAATCCATGAACCAAGTTTAATTTCCATATATTCATTTTTACTCAAGTTACAGCATACGCAGACAGGCGTTAGGAATTCAAATCGTCCCATCATCCTGATCATTTAGATAGTATATATAACTCTATATATATCTCGATTAGCTTTATGGGATACAAACAATTGTTAAGTGAACAAAACTATTATACTCTGTAGCAACATGTTGTAAGAGTATAAAAATTTTGCGCAATAATTCAACATTGACGAACTCGAAAATGGATTACAATCAAATTTGGTATTTACCATTGATTTGACCATTAACTCATGTTAGACGTAATTTTTTTGCCAGATTTTAGTTCGCGTCAGCAAGAATTATTATAAAAACATCTTCATATAAGATGTATTATATTTATGTGATATAATAATATAATTTGTAAGAAAACTTGACCATTTAGTTTCATTAAATCACACATTCTGACCAACCTGAACGGTTGAAAGTCAGGTGAAAGCTTTATATATATATATATATATATAACGGATATATGGAAGTTGAGAGTAGTGTAGACCCGATTTTATTTCTTTTTGACAATACATTATTTTAGCATGCCAAATACTAATAAAATGTTCTTTGGGTTTCATGAAGGAATATGGAATGAAGTTAACTGGATGTTCGAAATTTGTTGTACTCGTAATGGTTTTATTGAGCCAAGCCAAGTTTTCACCCAATTTTATAATATTGGCCGATATATTCGCTATAAAGTCACCCGGAAGTTCGAAAATCTTCATAATAGGTATATGGTGGCTAAAGAAAGTATTGAGGAAATATAATCTGAATTTCATTTATACATCTCAAATATTGACCGCTATTTGCGGTAAAAGGTCAACTATAAGTACTTGGGTCCATGTCTTAGGTTTTTATTGGACGATGTTTGGTCATAAAGTGCCCGGTATGAGTGCTTAACCCCCTTAAAGGGTTTAACCTGATCGAAGTTGGTTCTTTTAGCTTGAATGATTTTGGAGATATGTATATTAAACCTATTGGAGGCAGGGTCCAATTTTTTCGTTTTAGTACACAGGTGCCACTTAATACTGCGATCCCTGTGCCAAATTATAGTTATATACCTCATTTTAGTGCCTAGATGTAGAATTTTATAAGTTTTCGTTTAATGGCGTTTTGTGGGTGTTGCTGTGGCCCGATTACTACAATCTATGAACTAGTCCTAATTTTTTCTTCATGTGTACCAAGTTTCATCAAGATATCTTAATTTTACTTCAAGTTACAGCTTGCACGGAAAGTCGACGGTCATACTGATGGACCCAACCAAATTTGAAATCGTGTCTTCATCTTGATTATTTAAAATAAAAACATAAAAACAACCCATCAAAGGAGTAATCCACTCTATGTACTAGCTACTGAGTTCGCTACTCATCAAAGAGAGACTTGTAAGCAGTTCATGCTCTCTCTCGTTTTTCGCCAAAAAGGGACGGAGCAAAGGCATACTTTTTGTAGGGTGACTTTTCATTGGCATATGTATACATTTTCTGGTCATACACCTGAATTCGCAAGAAAAGAGAAAGAGAGACATTCATTCATAAACTTTTTTGTAAATACAATAAACAGTAAAGTAAACAATTCGAACGAGCGAAATAACGAAAGCAAACATAGCAACGCTAAATGTCACACACAAAACGAATTGCCAAGGAGAAGCAGAGGTGTCATGACAACAAAGTCAACAATTTTACACACATAAGCATATTAGGCCGTGCAGGCAAGAGTGGATATGTATCTCACAGATACTAAATAAAAAAGCCGAAATGCTTTTTCGCATTCGTTTTCTCATTGAGATGTTTAATTTAGTTTGTCTAGGAAAGCCGAATTGAATAGGTGTAGCGTTTGGCGGCGCGATGGTGCTCCCATTTATGAAAAAAATTAAATAACTAAATGATAAACCAAAAGTCGAGGAAACGTCATTTACAGTGCGATGCTAAAAAGTCACGATACAAAACACTAATTGAAAACTAAACAGTAAACTTCATAGCATTAGCTTTACATGCTATGCACAAATATTTGTACATAATCGCGGTGTTATATTAATGCATGGTAGTTCGGATAAAAGTTCCACAATCGCCAATTGACACAATTGGTCGAATTCGTCAGGATCTAACCTTCTGATTTTCGCTGAATTCGTTTTGTGTGTGATGCATAAAAAATAATTTAATTTTGATATAAAACTGAATATTAGAAAAAAATCAAATAAATTATTGCAGTGCAAAACGGTGAATTGGTTTTGGCGTAGAAAGAAAAGGAAATTTCACAAATTCGCAATGAATTTATGGAAAGGAGAACTGAAGTAAAGCGCAGTCAGTGGAAAGAATGTGCGTATATGAAAGGTGCATATACGATATGTACGGGTATATGCATATAAATAGATAGTTACATATGCGTGTACGTAAGTGTAAGCATGTGCACAAATATATAGCATGTGAACGCGAGCCAAAAGCTTAGGCATTCCATGCATAACTACAAGCTAATAAGCAAACAACAAAAATTAAAAAATAAAAAACAAAATATTAAATGTGGTGTGTTGGGTGTAGATCTCTGACAGATGGGCACTCGGTCGGTGGATCTTCTGTCACATGTGCTTAGGAGAGTGATACGCGTTTGAAATCATAATACAAAGCGGAGATGAACATCTTAAGTCGTTATCTAATTCCGCAACTAATTGAACATATTCACGACCAAAGCAGCAACAACGGCAACTACAATCACAACGAAAACTGAAAAACATACACACACACATATGGGTTCGCTGATGCGAACAACAGTCTTTAGAGGCATTGTTGTCCCAATGAGACCAGATGACACAAATAGCATTCAAACTTCCATAAATATGCAATTAGAGTTTGAACGTCGAACAAATAAAAATGGCTTTTCATATACATAAAAACCAAAAGAGAATACCAAGGTGTGCCAATTTAATCTAGCGGGTTTCAACGTTTAATGGACAGAAACATATTACAGCTGCATTACTATTTAAGGTGAAAATCGCAAGTACGCAACGGCTGAAAGGAAATTCAGGAAAATCGATTTCTCATTGTTTGATATACGAACAACAAAAGCACAGAGGGGTCAACAACTAAAAGAAAGCAGTCACACATGTGGGGTTGTGCTCACGAAAATTGCCTAGAACTAAAATATCGGCGAAAACAAAATCGAGACATGATTACAACAGAAAATGCAGGTAACTAATTTAAAATTATGCGACATTCTGGGATTGAATTGTTTACAAAGCGCTGTGCTTATTTCCCACTCACCGAGAACAGCTGTTTCTTTGCAGAGCTCACCTGAGCTGTAACTGTTTCTCATGTTATCTTGTCGCTAGCTTGTCTTTACTTGCCGTCACGAATGGTGTTGAATTCCGTCACCAAATCTTGCCGGGCCATTATTTATATCTTCATTTTATTGTTATATCAGTTACTATATGATAATTTATATCAATGCATAAAATTGGGTTGCTTTTCAATTTGGTTTTTGTGGCGGCTACAAAAGTATTTACATATAGTCGAATAATTCTAGTTTTTACTTTGTGCTCCCTTTGGTTCTGTTACAAATTTAGACTGTTATAAAAAGGAAACTATTTTCAAGCATTTCAATAAATTATAACTCATACACTGACCGACATATTTGTCATAAGATTTGTTAGTATAGACTCTAATAAAACCATTAAATCAATCAATTGAAAAGTGCCTTGTCCATTGGATGTTTAGGTAGCCCTAACCTTCAAAAGACGCGTATGTATATACATTTTCGGATAATTAGTTTGTGAATTATATCAATTTGAGTGAATCAACTTCTGTTAATATGAAAAAGAAGATAAAAAGAAATTTCGTGTGTTAATGAAATATTGATTTTTGAAGGAAAGAAATACAGTTGAACAAAAACTTGGCTTGATGAGATGGAGATGGAGATGTTCAAGCGGTATAAACCCGAGTTTTTACATCGATATGTGACAGTGGATAAAATATGGCTCTATCATTTCACTTCGAAATCCAATCTAAAGTCATTCGAGTTTACTGGACGCGATGAACTGCCTCCAAAGCATGGAAAAACGCAACATTCGACTGGAATAGTTATGCGTCGATATTTTGGGATATGCATGGAATAATTTTTATGGACTACCTTAAAAAAGGAACGACCATCAACAGTGACTATTACAATCGCCGAATCTGAAAAAGAATTTTCTATAGTAGGACTTTTCTGTTGGTCTGCTAAGAAATACATATATGGGAATTGGAGTAATTCGTCAACTAAGTGCACTTATTTTTGGCAATAATCTACATTGAGATATAGCCTGATGTATGTATGTATGCCGTATAAAATCAACTGGAAATGCGAAAATCTTTATATAAAATAAAGAGGCATACGGATTCTATACGAATTTCTATAATATGACTTTGGATAAAAAAAAATCCGCAAAAGAAACTGGGGTCCACATTTTTGTTATTGAGCTTTAATAGCTTAAATAGTTTTCGCCGACTTGAAGGCACAACTGAAAGGCAGGTGAAATTTAAAATTGTGATATATGGGAAGTTAGTCCCGAGATATGAATTTTCACCTTAATATGAGTGGTGCCATCTTGTTTTGGCCCCGTCTCCTATAAAGTCTTCACACTCCATCTCGGGTGTAAGCTTTTATGTCTTTGATTTATTTGTTAGAAATTTATAGCACTTTTAGTTTTTTTTTTAACAAAACTGTTGTTTCGAAAATGGGCGGAGTTATAATCCGAATTCA